ACACACACACACACACACACACACACACACACACACACACACACACAGGTTTGTTTTGCTATCTTTATGGGGCCTTTGCATTGACTTCCATTCATTTTTCATTCATTTCTATAGCCTAACCATGACCTTTATCCATAACCTAACCATTACCAGTACATACCTAACCCTAAACCTAACACATCCTCAATTCACACCTTAGTCCTAAACCTAGCCCCTAACCCACCAACGAGACTTCTTCTTATGGGGCCCGGGCTTTGGGCCCCATAAGGAGCAGTTGGTCCCCACAATGCAGTATAAGTTGGAAAAATGGGCCTCACAAAGTAGCATAAACAAGGAGACACACACACACACACATATATAATTTACTTTTTTGTTTTCCAAAATTCAGATACAATTCATTAATGCACCAGAATCCACTTCTTGAGTCTCAGGACCTTCAAAGCAACTGCATGCCAGCAACTGTGACATGCAAGTTATTGTTCGTATATGAGGGAATACATATTAAGATAACCTTCAAGGTAATACTTGAATAGAGAATTTTGCCTACGTACATACTGGGGAAATGACAATTAGATGACCTCTGGGGTCATTCCTATGACGTTTAAGGTCATTCTTGATTGACATCGGTCAAATACAAGTTTGACGGAAGGTGGTGTATTATTTCCCAACACAGTATGTACTGAATCTTATTAAGCTCTTACAGTAAACTAAATAATGATCATGACTTTTTGAGATTGGTTCATTCACTCATTAAAAAAGTTTTTTGACACTATGCAGTTTGTTTGTTCCAGATCCTTGGAAATGAACAACTTGTGGGCCTCTCCACCCTGCCCTCTGACAGTCTCCACGACTCAACCTCATCTCACAACCTTAAGCTCGAAGCTGTCTTCAGCCTCGTATTATCACTACTTCATCTCCTCTACGGACAATAAACACCACGGGGAATGTTGCTGAGGACCTCTGAGCAGATGGAAGGACTGATTCGGTTCAGAGGACCATGTGTTATTGTCCCTCCATCTAAATGTGTACAGTGATTCTGCTCTTTTCTAATTTAGTGTCAGAACAGTCTGCTTTCATCTGCCTGTGTCCTCACTCTCTTGAGTGGTGAGGCTGTTGCAGAGCAATGCCAGTCTGTACAAGCCAAACTGAGTCGAAATCAAAGTACTGCTTTTATGATCAAATCCAGTTTCAGCTATTCAGCTGTATTATAATGAAAACATAGCACAAATATGTGATACTGTTCAATGCCATGATGTATGTCCTTGTTTAGAGACCTTATGTGAGAAAATCAGTGAACTCTTGTTGGCACTGTTGTCAGTGCCATAAGTGTTGGGACTAATCTGAGAAAAGATTAACCTGTAAAAAAATCTAATTAACTGGCCAAAGGAGGAACAATGTTTCTGACCAGAACTGGAGCAGCAGAGCAACAAAATAACACCATGAACCTACACACTGCTCCAACACCATGAAATAAAGATTTGATTCCAGAAACTCAGTATGGAAGACACACCTCAGCTTGAAGTACATAAAAACTCTGACATAATTATCAGTCTTTCTGTGAAGCCGATATAACTTTGTGAGAGTTCTCTTCATCAGGACTATTGGGCTTTAGCGATAACGCTACAGTTTATAGAAGATATAAGTTCTTGGTCTTTATCAGCAAAGACATGTTGTTGGAGGAAAAAGGAAATAACCAGAAGCGCAGTAACTCTACCTTTAGCTGCTATGCTGTGTGTTTGTGAGTGTAATTCTTCCTGTGTTAGTGAACATTGCTACATGGCGCCCTGAATTTTTGTGCAAGAAAAGGTGATGCTCCATTGTTGGAGGCTGACTGTACAAATAATCCTTTTTTTTTTTTTTTTTTGTTCAGAAACATGTAGTAATTTCTGAACAGAATCAGATAAGTGTTAAATAAAATGTTCTCAGATCATTAATTTTCTGTACCATTCAGTATTTTGAAATAAATATCAATTGCTTACTTTGATACAACCAAAGTGGTAGGTTGTTGGCTGTTAACCAGAAGCAAAACCAAAAAAAGTATTAAGTTCCAACTAAGCAAACTAAACAGACAATGAAGAGCAATATTTTTGGGAAACAATTAAAATAGGATTTCAATTGTAACCCAACCTTTATGATTTCATTTTGACTTGCTTCATTTCTGAGCCTTTTGAGCTTTTATTTTGTCAACACAGGACACAAAGTTCTTCAGGACTAATTTAAACTAACTTTATTCATTAATGTTCTGGGTTACCTTCCTATCATTGTTTACTTATTTTACTAAACAACACAAAAATAAAGAGATTGGTTAAACAAAGACTAAGGAAATTCTGAAAAACAAAAATGTTCAAAAGATACTTTGTTTAAAATGTATGATAGTGACATGACATCTCATCTATCAAATATAATAACTTGATAATTAATGAGACATTTATATTTTAATTACTGAATTTGAAATTACTGTAATTAAACAAAAAAAATGTAAGAAAATGAATTCAAATTTGCATGACTGGCATTTAGGTTTGTGTGTGTGTGTGTGTATGGACATTTTCTTTCAATTTCTAATAATCAACAAACAAATATTGAAAAAAAAAGGAAATACATATTTTCATGTAATCCAAAACCTTCACTTATTTTGAACCTATGGAAAACAAATAAAGACAAAACATTTTGAGTTAGGCGACAAAGGATTGCAATTGTGAAATAAATGTTTTAAAAAATCAGAGTGTTCAAAATGGCACAAAGGCAGTGCACAGAATAGAACTGAGATTTGCACTGAGATGGATTATTCACTCAATTTAAGGAAAAAGGAGAAATGTGGATATGCTTGATCAAAATAGGTAGAGAATGTAACAATTTGTTCACACAGTGAGATTTTACTGCAGGAATTCCTTACCACACAGCAGTAACTTCCAGTTTCACTCTTCAGGGAGAACAAGTGTTCATTATACTACAAGTGAAAATGAGAAACGGATTGCTGTGATGAATCTGAATATTCTGAATACAATCTGCCCAGTTGATTTATAATCGGCTCATTACTCCATGAGTGATGCTTTTTCATTTTCCTGCCATGGCCTTCTGAATATAAACGCCATAGTTTAGAATCATCTCTTATCTCTGATGACCCATTAAACTATTTGTCAAACTCAGGGTTTGTGCTGAACAAATCACTCACTTCTAATATAACATGTAACAAGAATAAATTAGAATTACCGTCTTTCAGTTACTGCAGCTAATAGAGTTGCAGTTGACATCCATACCTGTCCAGACTTATATAATATACAGTGGGTGGTGAAAATTATGAACTCATTTAAATAACCAGATTTTGAGTTTGTGAAATAAAAAATATATACACTCTAAATTTGTCTCGCCTATAAGAAATGTGTTATTGAACACACATGAATAAAATATCAATTTGGTATTAAAATTAGAAAGTTATATCTGCTCTGAGACAAACAAGTTCAATTCAATTCAGTTCAGTTTGTTTGTATAGCACCAAATCACAAGAGAAGTTGTCTCAGGGCACTGAACAGAAACATTCACACACATATAAAGTCTGTTAATAATGGCATTTGTCTAAGGAGCCAACAGATTGCTTTCAGTTTTCACTTAGTTGCAATGTCCCAACATAAGCAAGCACAGAGGCAACAGTGGAAAGGAAAAACTCCCTCATGATGAAGAAACCTCCAGCAGAACCAGGCTTGAGGCAAGCAGCCATCTGCTTCGACCGACTGGGCTTGAGAGGGCAGGAAGGAGAAAACAAACACACAACGACAGGTCCAGGATGGAGGCCAACAGGTTTTCTCTAGGAGGAAAGACAAAAATACAGAAATCACATCAAGAAAGAAAAATTACAAATTCAAACTATTCATTTGTATTTATTTGTAACTGTTCATTTGATAATATAAGATTTATTTGTTCTCCAGTAGTCTCCAGCATAGGATAAGGAATAGGTCAGGAAACCAAGCCGACTAACTAGGATTTATCAAAAATGAAAGTCTTAATCCCAGTCTTAAAACTGGACAATGTGTCAGCCCTACGGAAAGAATCTGGAAGTTGGTTCCACAAGAGAGGAGCCTGACAATCAAAAGATCTTCATTCCATTCTGCTTTTGGAAACTCTAGGAACCACAAGTAAGCCTGCAGTCTGAGAGTGAAGTGGTTTGTTGGGAAAATATGGAACATTAAGATCTAGACTACAAGATGGAGCTAGGTTGTTGAGAGCTTTGTAGGTTAAGATTTTGAATTTATTCTGAATTTGACAGGGAGCCAATGGAGAGAAGCTAAAACTGGAGCGATATGAGCTCTCCTACCAACTCCCATTAAGACTCTGGCAGCAGCATTTTGGTGACGTGAATGCCAATAGATCCAACAATTTACACAATGGTTCCAAAAAATATAAAATGCTTCAGAAAGTAAAGGTGACAAAAGCACTAACTATTGTTCCAGAGAGCAGTTTTCCCCTGTTCTTATCTGTATTTGTTGTTGTCAATCATCTATGTTGGCTGATTTAAGGATATTTTAGTCTAAATACTTCCTCTTGTTAAAAAAGGGGGCTACTGGAAAATGGTACAGATGGAGACACTCTTTAAGGTAAAATAAATGTTTACAACAAACTACAACCATTAGCATATTTATCAATGAAATATTGTGATGCAGGCTCACCACTTGCACAATTATGTAGTTAGACCAGCTTGTCAGGCTCCTAATGTTACTTTAAAAATTATGACAAATTACAGAAAATGGGAATCTTATAGAATATGCATGCTTAGTTGAAAACTATATATTTAATTAGTGTTTAGTCTTAAGTTTAGGTTAGGTTGTTCAACTGTTTGTCCTGCTGTTAAACACGTTTTAATATTACCTGCTTGCTTTTTGTAGTTTCGACTATTTATTGGTTTAAATTTAATTTCAACATTTTGTCAAAAAGTATATGTATAAGTATATATATATATATATATATATATATATATATATATATATATATA